CAGCTGTGCTGGCAGCCAGTCGGCGAATCCCCGCGGGATTCGTCATCGATGGCGACCATCGTGTCTCGCGCGCAGAGTCGTGTCGTGTTCGTGCGGGGTCGAGGGATCCGTCGGTACGACGTCGTTACGCTGCAACAGCTCAGCCCCGACCACGGGGCATTACGCCTTTTACGACTCTTTCATGTAATTGTCGTGCTCGTGAACTTTTACGAGCGCGCGAACCGCGAGCGGGAATCTGCCGCCGCCGCGAAGCACTCCAGCGATGGCTATCCCGGCATATTGGCACGAGTGCGTCCTTCGTTTTGTGTTTCCGCTCGCGAATTGCTGCACTAACCGCGCGATACTCTCGTCGGTCGCGATTTCTGAAGCGGCTCTATCAGATACGACAATAATGCCAGATACGAAAATGCATGCAGCAGGAACGAGAGAGAGAGAGAGTTAATGCCTTTGCGTTGCGCCGATTTATTGAAACATTTCGCAGCGCGAATACGCGAGTAAACAGCTATCCACACATACTTATAAAAGTATGCGCCACACATACACTCGCGGCAGTATGTTTTTCCCGATTAAATCAAGTCCAACGGTCGGGCGCGGCGCGGGGCGAGCATCGAGGGCAAAATTTGCAAGTCGTATGCAGTCCGAGTCGGATGTCGCCGTCGCCTAAAGAGCGTACTCGCACAACAGGAGCGATTTCCATTGAGGGACGATGGCAGACCCCGATAAGGGTGTCTCACTCCCCGCGAGAGAGGACGAGCCCGGGCGCGTTTCGCGCGGGGGTAGATACCGATCGCGATCGATATCGTTCGGGCTGCTCGGGAATTGAAAAGAGATTGCGCCGCCCCGAAGTCGTTCCCGCAATCAGATCGGTCACGACTCAAGGGGGCGAGCACCGGTGGAGTGAGTTTTCAGCTAATAATAGCCCGAATCTTCTCTCAACACACTGCTCTTCAAACGGGAGAGTATTCGATGTAGATTTAGACGACGACCGGATTTATCTTCGACAAACGAAAAGACATCGGGGACAAAAATATTACTCGAACGCCCGATTCTCTCGATTTTCGATTGGAAAGAACGAGTCGCGCGACGAGATGTATATAAAATATCGGAAATATAATGCACTCTCGCGGTGAATATTCCTAGTTTACGATCGAGCTTCTTGCTTATGCGGCTTCACTCCATTATCGTGCTCGACTGTCATTCGTAGTGTTTCTCCACTCGTATTAAACGTCCCGACCGCGAGTATAGCGTTTCCAGTCTCGTGATAATTAAGATCCTGACCTCCCTTCCGACCGTCTTTCTCCCTCAAGGGAAGTCTATTAATTAAAAGCCAATTACTTCGTTGAAACGGTCTCCGACGGCGAAACCATCTCCGTGTAGCTGCGCTTCTTAACTGTCCTCCTTTTTCTTCCATCGCGAATTTGCCAAAATGATGCGCGAGAAACACTTTATTTTTCTTCCTCTGTATTATTTTTCAGATTTAAAACTGTTTATAATCGGGTTTTCCCTGAAAAAGCTGTAATAACGGAAAACAGGAACATCACCGGTAAATTTTTAATGATTTTTCTCTTTTATTTGTACTCGACATTTTAGCCAAGTCAATGTATTGAAAACATAATTACATTTAGTTAACGTAGGTTACAAGCTTTCAGCGAAATTATTATTTTCGCAAGAATAGTGCCGATTAAAATATACATTTCGCGATTTATTGATAATGCACGCGAGCGCGAATGTAATAAAAATATGGGCGGTTTAATTTATATATTTAAAAGCAGTGCGTGCGCGCGGCCAAATTTCCACATTCGCGTTTTCGCGCATGTATATATTGTTGCGCTCACAATTTACAAAATAATCGTAATTTCGAAGATAAACTGCACCGAATGAATATCGAATTATTAAAACAAACGAGTTTAATTAATCGCGGCCTGTCCGAAGCAGGTTCGTAAAATATCCATTCGGACGAATTTGCCCGCGTTTAAAATATTAACGATAATTTTGCCGTATTGCGAAATGAATATTACCAGTGTCGCTGAAATCGTAACGGTGAGAAAACATTGCGCTCGATAGCGAGGTCGATCGTCTTCGATCGCGTCTCTGTGTTCTAACACCGTTTATTACGTTCCCCTCGTATTCGCGACAGAGAAAAAAAATACTCTAAACCGACTGTCGTAGTTGCGTCGATATATTAAAACGCGGTTTATACTGCGAGCTTTACGACCATCGGGCAATAAAGTCCGTTTCACAACGCTCGTTGATTCCGCTGGGAATAATGTGGCGACTATATTCAAGACGCTCGTTACAGTCGCGAATTGCCGTGATTTTCTCTTTTTCTCTCTTTCGCGATAGTCATTACACGCTTTTTTTCTCAACACGTGTAGCGGTCACGTCGATAAACGATACATGCGCGAAAGAAATAGGTCCAGCAACTACACTCTGACTGCGCAATTCTGTCGCGAATCTCGCCGCGATCGGAAATTTCAGCGTGCGAAGTGAGAACCGCTGTTCGGTGAGCGAATTAGTTAAAGCCAGCCCGGGCTGTGTCTTGTACACACGATGTAGAAACGATGTTACGAGGAACCGGTCTTTGGTCGACCCGCATACATGCATTTCGTGTGTGTATGTGTGTGTGTGTGTGTGAGCGCGCGCAACATACAAGCCCTTCCTCTCCCTCTCGCAGGCGAAGAAGGAGGCGAGAGTGCGCCGCGCTCCTTTCTCGCCCTCGTCTTCGTTTTTCTCATTTTCTCGACGCGCTTATCCCTCTTACCGACCGACTGACTGCGGTCTCGCATTACGGCTCAATTTGGTCCGCTTTTCGTAATCTCGTAATCTCATTTGATCGATATAATCTCGACCCTGCAATCGCGGAGAGGCTCTTAAAGGATCTTCCGCTCAGCCGCTCTTCCCGCGGCCGTCATTATAGATTCAAGCAGCATCTTGGTTTACGAAACTCGATAATTCGATTAATCACACGGAGTGCTTTTATATTTGCCCGATGTGATATTTATACGGCAATTTTGATTGTTATACGCGCGCTCGGATCATTACGCTCGAAACTAACACGCTGAATAAAACGATGATAAATCATTTTATTGCCAACGAAAGGCGAAAACAATATTTGTCATTTTGATATGCGGTGCGCGTATCTGCGTATCAGCGGCATTGCATTCGTGACGTAAATTTATCCGACAACTTTTTTTTTTTCAGCTTTCCGATTAATGAGAGATTTGCTTATGTAATCGGTTTTTCGAAGATGACAGAGTCTCGTGATGTAAATGCGCGAATTGGGTTTTCGTGTGAGCAACCTTCCGACGAAGTTCAGCTTCTGCATGAGAAGTCCGCGTTTCGCAGCTAGTTTCTGCACGCATCACCTTAACGCTTGAACGTCGTGGCTTCGTTAACGAAACGCATATAATCTTGTATAGCTACACGACACTTACACGCTTACATTAATCCGTGTAATACTGTTATTCATGCGATCATGTTCTAATCTGTCTCATTTACTTTTTTTGCAGTATTACGAGATGTCGTATGGACTCAACGTGGAGATGCACAAACAGGTAAGAGACTCGATATCTTATATTATTTAAAGTATCTGGAGAACGGGAGTAAGGAACGATATCGCTGCGATCGATACGCGCTTGCCGCGTCGGTTGACGGTGATTTATTAATCGCTCAGTTGGCACGTTGCGCGCGCGGGATTTAATCCGAAATTAAGGGGCCGAACGAGGAGAAAGCTCCGATTACGGGGTGTTTGCGACCCTCTGGGATCTTAGCTATTGAATAAATATGTAAACAAGGTAATAACATGCAAATAGCGCAGCCCGGGGTTGCTGCGTTGTCTCGCGCGCGCGCGCGCGCAAGACCTCGCGCAATGAAAGACGCAATCCGGCATCCAGAATTTTTATCAGAAACTAGCGGTATTACCGTGCTTTCGGAAAGCACTTGGGATGGAGCTTTCTACACCTCTCCACGTGGCGCGATCAAATCAAATCAAATAATACCTCTTGGAAAATTTTTTTCTTTTCTTTTTTTCGCGCGCATCGGCAACGTCGAGCCCTACGTATTTTTGAATAAAGATTTATTTCGAAAAAATCTGCATTACAAAGATATCGTCATCAAATTTTTCTTGCATCGTATCCATATTCAACGCACCGAACGGCCGATTTGAATTTTTCCTTTTCTCGCATCACCGCGAAGCGCTGATTTCATCTTCCTTCAAAGCGATCTCTGCTTTTCTTTTTTCTTGTTTTTTTTTTTACGACGAGAGAAAGGTGGTGCCCAATCGAATAATTTAGGGTCGACGAGGCCTGGCGAGGGGTGGGGGGGGGAATGAAGGGGAGAGAAAAAGAAACGCGTTAATTGATCGGCAACGGCGAGACTCGGTCTCTTAATTATAGGACGCGTCGGATCGAAGACGAAAACGGCCGTGAGCGCCCGGTCCAATCTGAAATAAATCTCGTCGGGGAGTCGCGTATTTGCACCGTCGTTATCTCGGGGAGTGGATTTTCGATCCGTTGTTCGCGTCTGAGAAGTATCTCGTTTCGGTGCCGGCACAGATACTACTAAGTGGATTCGTCGTATTATCGACAAGCCGGCTAATATCGTCGAGACGTAGCTTCTGAGTGTCACGGAGAGGTGAGAGGCATTCTGTACGCGCTATCGGACAGGAATCTCGATCACAAATTCCGGAGAGTGAATGGCGATCCTTCTTTCTTCGCCTCCACCTCGATATTCCCGTCCTCTCATCTACGCCCTCTCCATAATCTATCTTGCGCGTGGGCGTGCAGCGACGAGTAATGCTCACGTTTATTGAATATTTAGCAGCTGAGCCCGTTATGCTTCCTCCACCCCGCCGCGCTCGACGTCCGCCTTTGTGTCTCGCCTATTCTTTCCACCGCCTCTCCTTTTTCCGGCAGGATGCGTCCTTCAAATCATGAATAAGACCTCGCGTTGAGCGCACGGCGGGTTTCTACGCGAGGCCAGTAGCGAGGCAAGTCAGGTAGCAGGTTGCTTATCTCTCTTCCTGAACGGGCGCTTAAGCGAGCAACCGTGTCGACGGGTTCACAAATATCTTAGGCGTGACTAGGCAGACTGAGCGGCATTTATGCCAACAGTTAAGAATTTGTCCAAATTATTGGCACGACAAATTTTCAACACTCTTTATTCACTGCGTCATATAAATTTCCATGATATTTAATCTTAAACTTATCGATGTGAAGCAAATATTTTTGAAAAAATATCAGTAGGTAATAAAAATATTAGTACCTGAGATTTGCGGGATGGAAAAGGAAGAAGGATAATATTCTCGGAAACGGGACGGCGATCTTTCTATACGGTCGAAACGCGGATTTCCGCTTGTAAGTCTCGTCGTAGTAAAGTTACGTATTAAGCTTGAATGAGGCACATAACTCTTTCAGGATTCCCTCCAACGAGGACATTCGAGCAGGCCGCGAGATATATATACCGTGTGAAATGCGGTATCGGGAACGATGGAATATAAATTCCGATAGGAAATCGCAATACGATCGTGTCGTATCCGCCGTTTTATGCCCTCGATATCTTCGAGATAAGCACTCGAGGCGGGCGGCGGCGGCGGCGGCGGCGGCACTCTGAAATTGCGACGTGACGGTGTCACGTACTTTCCCGGATCGGGATGACGATTATTATCGCTGTTACTTTTAATTCCGTCGCGATTTATCGCCACTGGCAGCCGAACAGGCGGGGATTTATTATTATCAGATCAGGTATTATCGCGTGCGCGCGGGCGCGATTTATTCGCTCGTACGCGCGCGCTATACGGTGCTACGGATACCCGCGCGCGTATCCGGTCCTCATATTTATAAAATCGAAGTGCCGTGCCACTGCTCCGTCGACACGCCTCGTTCCTGCCACGCGGTGCCCGCGATTAATAGCCCGCGCGTTTATGACGAGATCGGGCGTTGTCGCCCGCGTCGGAAATAAAACAGAAAAAGCGAAAGCACGAGCGGGAATGAATAACGGATCCGGCGATGCGAAAGAGCAAAATATCGCGACGCCGGGGATTTATCGGTGTTACATTAACGCCGACCGGCCCTCGTAAGTGTCCACGCATGGCGGGAGCGAGCGCGTCCGCTCGCTCTCTCTCCCTCCCTTCCTCCCTCCCTCCCGCCTGGAGGTTATTAACGTCGCTAATTCTCGGCAATTACTGTCATCATCGTCGGCCGTCTGACCGCAACCGAGCTGTTACGTTTTCCTGTTACACCTGTACGATAATCATTGTCAGCCGGAATCACGCTTGCCGGATAGTTTGCGGATATATCGCACGGCTATAAACGTCTGTGTTAACTCGATAAGTTTTTAGTTAATTAATACGGTACACGCAAATACGCGTGTATTAAATATCGAGCATTACGGAAGTGTCGATAAAAATCACCGAGTCACGAGATATCGATGCCGAGAGAATTTAATGGCGCAAACCAAGTACCCGCGATGCTTCATTGTTGTGAACGCATCGATTTTCTTATTCACTTTTTCCCGTGCCGGTGGAGAACCGAAATTGTTGTGTCATGAGTCGGGTGTCGTTTGATTTTGACCCGTTTCGTCGTGTGTCATCGAACGATGACCACGCGGTCGCGCTTTGTTGCGTCCGACGGCGGCGGCGGTGATAGCGCGCGCGCGCGCGCGCTCACCCGCCCGCTTGCCCACGTTTTTATTTGTAGGAAGCGATGCGTATTGTAAACGCTTTCAGGCATTACTCTCGATTTTACTAACGCTATTACCGGCGATTCCGCAGCTGCAGTACGTGTCGGGGCAGTCGGAAAATTCACGCATGAAAAGTACGGGCGGCCACCACGAGTGATTCGATTTCGTTGTTTTGTCCGATTCGCTGGTTCGCTCGTTTCCCTCCCCCTCGCGCGTCACTCGCCCCGCGCGTTTCCAGGACTCCCCTCGCGGCTCGCCACCCCGCGGGCGCTTGTCTCCCCTGGTTGTCTCTCCATATCCATCCCATATACAGTGCGCTCATTATTCATTTATCGGTTTAACGAGCACGTCCGCGATAAAGCGTCGCGAAATATCGATATCGGATGGTCAATACCCGCTCGGTCCGCGGTCCCTCGCTGGCGCGTGGCTCCGCCTTTCTCTCGGAACAATAAAAAAAATAACTGACTAATCGCGATTTTGCGCGGTGTGTTGCTTCGATTTTAATTCATCGAAATCGAAACAACTGTCGTGGAATTGGCCGAGCGACTTGGAAGACGCGATCCACGGACAAATGAAACGAGTTTCGACGTCCATAAAACTGTGTGTGCTTGGATATTTTTTTATCAAGAGCTTCGCACGTTCGCGACTGGAAAAAAAATAGCCGAGGAATCTCGTCAGGTGCTTCATGAATAACTTCTCAAAAGCGTCCGGCATCACCATCCCTTGCTCGCGAGAGAGGAAAAGCGAGAGAAGGGAAGAGAGAAAAAGGGAGAGATAGTGACTGCGCGAAATGTGTGCGCGGCCGCCGCCGCTTTTTTTCCCGTTTTTATTGTGTCTGCAGTGCCACTGGTTTGATCGGTCGGGCCGCGCCAGGTGGAGGCGGAGGAGCAGATGGTGATTGAGAGGGAAACGGGGCCGGAGGGCGAGGGACGAGAGAAGGGAGGCGATGGGGAGAGCACGGGGGCGGCCGTGGGCAGAAGGGAGAAAAAAGAGGGCGAGTCCGGGCCGTCGCGACGGGCGGAGGAACGAATGGAACGTTGGTGTCGGCGGGGTAGAACAGGGTGCACACGCCGGAAGGGGAACCCGGGAGCCGCCGCTGGGGGGTGGATGGGGGGGGCGGTGGTGGTGGTGTCGGTCGGGGTTGGCGGTGGTTGACGGTGGGGACGCATCGGCGGCGGTGGCTCGGTGTGTTGGTTCCGAGGGGGTTGGAGGGGGGAAAAAGCGAAGAGCAAAATTTGCTATCGGAAAAATCGAGCTCTCCACGCCACCGCCGCCGACCTCTCCACGCTTGCCCTCCCGCGCGCCCTCCTCTCGCTTTTCCTCCCTCGACCTCGCCCAACCACGACCGCGACTCGTGCGATCCAGCTCCCTCGACCTCGCCGTCCCCGACTCCCCGCAGGAGAGATCCTAGCGAGAGCAGCGTGTAGCCGCGTCGGTGTGAGTTTGACACGCGTTCGTGTGTGCCGTGCGGCTTGGCGGAGAACGGTTCGCAATATGTGCACAATAAAATATACACACAGAAATGTCTACCTTGGCGCGTCTGCGTCCTCCTTTTCTCGCGGTGTCGCGGGAACGCGCGTATGCATCCGCCGGCGGTGTACATATGTACAATACGTATACGCGTATGTACGGATATATACGCCGGATGGTGTGTGCTTTCAGCGCAGGAATCCGCGATATCGGCGGGGGGTGCCGTGTACTCGATACACGTCCTCCATGCTCGCGATCTCTCAACACGATAAGTTCCTTCAACCGCGGTCTCTTTTTCCTCCCCCCTCCCCTTCCCTCCGCGCGCGCACAATATCTACCACCTCTTTTGCCCCGCGGATAAGAAGGATATGCTGCACGGAGACGTCGCGACCCGAGGATGGTTTTA